CACTGAGTCTGAGTCCGCCTGTCCTCCGTCCGTCGGGGGTGAGTGTGCCCTTGGCACGGACGTCCTAGAGGACAGGCAGGAGGAGTTACAGTGTCTAGCGGCTGCTTCACCTCATCTCGCGTCTGTACTGCTTGCCCCTGAGGGAGACCCGGATGCACTAGACATCCCGACTCCGCGTTCTTACGCGGAGGCCGTAGAGGGTCCCTACTCCTCTCAGTGGCACGCAGCTATGGATGCAGAGATGGCTTCCTGGAAGTCCACAGGCACCTACATTGACGCGGTTCCCCCTCCTGGGGCGAACATCGTCAGTGGCATGTGGATCTTCAGGGTGAAGCGGCCGCCGGGCTCCCCGCCTGTCTTCAAGGCGCGTTACGTGGCTCGTGGCTTCAGTCAGCGGCAGGGAGTTGACTACTTTCAGACCTTCTCTCCCACCCCGAAGATGACCACTCTTCGGGTGCGGCTGCACATTGCCGCTCAGCGCAACTACGAGCTTCACTCTCTCGACTTCAGCACTGCGTTCCTGCAGGGTAGCCTGCACGAGGAGATCTGGCTGCGCCGTCCGCCTGGCTTCACTGGGACTTTCCCTCCTGGCACCCAGTGGAGCCTCCGACGACCAGTCTACGGTCTTCGCCAGGCACCGCGTGAGTGGCACGACACACTGAGGACTACGCTTGCGGCTCTTGGGTTTGCTCCTTCTACTGCTGACCCGTCGCTGTTTCTTCGCACCGACACTTCCCTGCCGCCGTTCTACATCCTCGTGTACGTTGACGACTTGGTCTTTGCCACAGCGGACACTGCTGGACTCGCCTACGTGAATTCCGAGCTGCTGAAGAGACACACGTGCACAGACCTGGGTGAACTGCGCAGCTACCTTGGCTTGCAGATCACTCGGGACAGAGCACGTCGCACCATTACCCTGACTCAGTCACACATGGTGCAGCAGGTCCTTCAGCGCTTCGGCTTCACGTACTCCTCGCCTCAGGCCACTCCTCTGCCTACTCGCCACTCACTCTCAGCTCTGCCTTCGGATGAGTCCGTAGAGTCGAGTGGTCCGTATGCAGAGCTTGTTGGCTGCCTCATGTACCTGATGACCTGCACACGACCTGACCTTGCATACCCTCTTAGCATTCTGGCACGCTATGTTGCTCCTGGGAGACACAGACCGGAGCACATGGCTGCAGCGAAGAGGGTATTGCGCTACCTGTGCAGTACGTCGGGCATGGGGCTAGTGCTTGGAGGGCGGAGTCCAGTGGTCCTTACCGGCCACGCGGACGCTTCTTGGGCTGACGACCAGGCTACGCAGCGGTCGTCACAGGGTTACACCTTCAGCCTTGGTTCCGGTTCTGTCTCGTGGCGGTCTACTCGCTCGTCTTCGGTTCTCGGCTCCAGTTGTGAGGCTGAGATCTACGCCGGGGCCATGGCTGCACAGGAGCTTCGCTGGCTCACCTACCTGCTGACCGACCTTGGAGAGCCGCCTCGTTCTCCTCCAGTGCTGTACGTAGACAACAAGGCCATGCTGGCCTTGTGTCGAGAGCAGCGTTTGGAGCACAGAACGAAGCACATTGCTCTCCGCTACTTCCTTGCTCGTGAGCTGCAGCAGCGTGGTCAGTTGCGACTTGCTTACGTGGCCTCTGAGGCCAACACTGGTGATGTGTTCACCAAGGCACTTGCGCCTTGTGACCATCAGCGCTTTTGTACCCAGCTGGGTCTTGTACCTGTCTTGCCTCACTTGCTCTCTTCTTGACTTTACTTGTACTTTGTCATATATATACCTGCTCCTGCTTGTCTAGTTTTATATATATGTCTGTACTCCTGCATGTGAACTGGCCTCTGGCCCTGCTCTTGTGCTCGGACTGTGTGGTGACTTTGTGATCCACCTTGAGCTTGCTTTGCTTTGCTTTGCTTGACTGGTCTTGTGACCCCTTGTTCTCCCCCACTTTGCCTATGGGGGTGTGTCAGATCATTATAGCTGATGCATGTTTGTAGGCTATAGTGGGGTAGCACATATGGGGTACAGTTTGCTAGGGTTGCATTTGTACCCAACTCTGACTTAGTCAATTCATTCCTGTTCAGTTAGTTCCACAGCCTCGTCTATGGCAGCAGTACCTCTATTCCGTCCTCGAGCTCGGCTTCACTCAGCTGCCGCACGACCTCGGAATGTACAAGCAAGAATCGCGCGGGAAATTCGTACTCCTCGTTGCCTACGTCGACGACCTTCTCTACACCGGCGACGACACGGAGCTGCTGGACCAGTTTGAGGCTGACATCAAAGAGAAACTGGAGGTGACAATCAACCACAACGTCACCTAGTTTCTCGGCCTCAATGTGACTCAGTCCGCCTCCTCCATTCACCTCTCCGCCGCCAAGTACGCTGAAACACTCGCGAAGCGCTTCTCCATCGCACCAATCAACCTCACTACCCCCTATCGCACTCCTCCTCCTAACCAAGAGCCAAACACCACACCGCTCTCTCCCGACAACTATCGTCTCTATCAGCAGCAGCTGGGATGTCTCCTGATCGCCGCCGTCACGTGTCAACCCGATCTCTCCTACGTCGCAAGCCAGCTCGCACAGTATCTGAAGCGACCTGAAGGGGAGAATCTACTGGATCTACGCCGAGCACTACAGTACTTCATCTCCACTCCCGACATCGGTCTCACCTACGAAGCTAACCTCACCGCTACTCTACAGCTCCATGGCTACGTAGATGCCGACCACGCTGGAGATGTTGACAACAGACGCTCCCGCACATGATTTATTTTTCAACTCCAACCTGCCGGACTCATCTCCTGGAACTCTCAGAAGCAGGAACTTATCGCTCTCTCGTCAGCAGAAGCAGAATTCATCGCAGCTAGCGCAGCTGTTCGCAAAGGACTATACCTGGTGGAGCTCCTGCAAGAAGGGAAAGTGACGATGAACGGGCACTTCTCGTTACTCTGCGACAATCAGAGCGCGATAAAGATCGCGAACAAGCCCAGCTTCATCAACCGCACCAAGCACATCGCCCTTCGCTACTTCTTCGTGAAGGATGAAATCGACAAAGGGAAAGTCAAGCTGACGTACTACCCGACCGGTGACATGGCAGCTGATTTCTTGACAAAGAAGCTGCCACGTCAGCAGTACCAACGCTACGCCGACCTCTGCGGGATCACCAAGAAATCCCACGTGGCCCACCTTCAGGAATGAAGGGGAGTGTTGGAATAACCGAAAGGCTATATAAAGCATTCCCGGAGCTGTTCCACTGTACCAGTACCGCAATAGCTCATATAGAGCATGCGGAATGTCGAGGGTCACCCGAAGGTCAACCGTCTGAGGAAGTCAACGGTCGTGACCCTCGACGATCCAGTAACCGCACGACAGTTAATTCACTGCAACATGGTAACTGTCGAGGATGGCAATAGTCACGGTTAGTGTAGCAATGCAATACAGTTAATAAGGGAATGTACCCCTCAGAGTACATGGCTAGCTAGATTTCTATTTAATCTCTTGTACTCCTATCTTTCAATCATCTTGTTCTCTTTCAATTATTATTCAACAAGGTCACTACAGAGACTTCATTGTCTTCTCTCAGACTTAACAGATTCTATCCTATCTACTGGATCCTTGGTTACATCAGTAAGTTCGATCTGCACATACGAAAAGTTTGAAACAGTGTTTTGGAAACCCACCCCGCAACACCGTTTCAAGCTGGGACGGGGTTCACTATTCTATATTCCGGTTGTAACATCACAGGTTGACCCGCGTACGTGAGTTTCGGCGCGAACTTCTTGACCCCCTCGAAAATGCCATGTGGCACCCCTCTGGCGACTTGCAGCGGAAGATTTACCAGCACGTGGCGACAGTGAAATAGTGGGAGGGGGGAAATCTCGGCAAATTCTAAGTGAAAGGACCGCGGCCAATCATCGAGGGAGAAATTTTCGCGATATCCTCCCGTACTTGCACCAACTCATCAACAGCTAAAATAAGGAATCTGTAAGGAAAGGGGGGTGTTATAAAAAATCACCCGAAAAGGGGGGTATAACGAGGCCGCCCATAACACTCACCGCGCACAAGTTACCCAGACGGTGTACAATTTCGGCGGGTGTTTCATCCGGGAAAATACGGTACAAAATATACAGAACACAAGACCTGACTGCCCTTTTTCATTTTTTCAATCCACAAGTTAATATGTATGGTTGTGTGACACATCCACTCCTCTCCCATGGCATCCCCAGGTCCCTGCTGCGCATTGTGTGTTCGTAGCTTCAATCCTGCGATTACAGCCAGTTCTGTCCACAACCTTCTCACCGCCCCTTTCCACCACCGCTACATTCAATGCTCTGGTCGTTTTTTCCGGGCATTGCAAGGGCAATGGAGGGGCAAGCGACCAGCCACCTGCCGGCCATCTCCTTCAACAAGCTTGGAGCGGCCAGCCAGGGCAAGCACCATCCTCACTCATCGCTGTGGCATTCAATAAAGCAAAGACTTGCGTCAGCAGCGTGGTTGAGGCGTGCTGTGGGCATCATGCTGGCGTGCATGAGAGGAGAGAGGCGGCGGCGGTGGCGGTGGCAGGTGCGCAGTGGGCAAGCTGGGGAAGTCGGGCGCCACCTCCATGTGCTGCTCCGGCTGGACCCTCGCCATGGGTGGTGGGGCGGTGGGAGGAGCGGTGGGACGGGTGGTGGGAGGGATGCACTCATGGGCTGAGGTGGTGCGAGGAGAGGTTGGTTGGGAGGGAGGGGAGGGTGAGAGCGAGGGGAGAGAGGGGAGAGTGGGGGCGAGGGGAGCGAGGGGAGCGTTGGGGCGAGGGGAGGGAAGAGAGAGTGGAGACGAGGTGAGTGAAGGGAGAGTGGGGACGAAGGTAGCGAGGGAAGAGAGGGGAGTGAGGGGAGTGAGAGGAGTGAGGGAAGAGAGGGGAGAGAGGGGAGAGAGGGGAGAGAGGGGAGGGAGGGGAGTGGGGAGAGAGGGGAGAGAGGAGAGAGGGGAGAGAGGGGAGGGAGGCGAGGGAGGGGAGTGGGGAGTACCTGCAGAAGGGCGAGGATTGCAGCAAGCAGCGAGTTGAGGAGCACCACGAGGCAGAACACCTTCCCTGCCACCACCCCACACGCGTAGTACCTGCACCGTGTGCGCGGCATGCAAGGCGCATGCGAGGGACATGTGAGGCGCATGTGAGAGTGGCACGTGAGGGTATGTGATGGCTGCACCACGAGGGGCATGTGATGATGACACACAGTCTGATGGAGGCATGAATGCAACACAGGAGCCGTGCTGTCATGCAACACAGGAGCCGTGCTGTCATGCAACACAGGAGCCGTGCTGTCATGCAACACAGGAGCCGTGCTGTCATGCAACACAGGAGCCGTGCTGTCATGCAACACAGGAGCCGTGCTGTCATGCGGAACCCAGTCGGGCAGATAGGGGAGCGCAGCCAGTGTGAGGAGGGATTGTGAGGTGTGCGACACAGCACAGACCGTGATGCTCTCTCAGCTGATTGCAAGGCAGGGAGAGGCGGATGGGTGCACCTGGAGAGGCGGGTGGGGAGGTCATCGAGAGGCATGGCCATGACGCGGTCGTACACGCGCTCCGTGCGCTCTGCCACGTCATGCCAGCTGTACATGCGCGACACCTGCTCCTCGCACCGCGGTGGCCCAGTGGTGGTGTGCGGGGTGGGGGCAGCGGCGTGGAGTCATGGCACGTGGGCGTGGGAGGGCGTTGGGGGAAAGAGATGAGTACTTGCAGAGTAGGTTAGTCATGGCGGTGCAGGCAACGGTGGGTATGGGCACGTGGGGCATAGTGCGACGTGGCAGTGGAGAAAGGGGTGGAGAAAGGGATGCATATGTGCGGCAGGCACAGTGCCATGGTGCCATGGTGGCGTGGTGCCATGGTGGCGTGAAGGCAAGCTAGAGTGCGAGCAAGGGGACGACGCAGTGTGATGCGCTGGAGGGGCTGTGATGCGCTGGAGGGGCTGTGATGCGCTGGAGGGGCTGTGATGAGACACATTAGAGGGTGCAGCACTGAGTGCGTATATTGGGTGCACCAACCCCATGGTTGGGCGTGGGCCACCGATTCTTCAACTGAGGTGCAAGGGTGTTGTGAGATCCCAAGAATGACCGTGGGAGGCAGGGAGACAGTGGATTCATAGCAAGAGTGTGGCACGGTGCTTGCGAGATTGCACACACCCTCTCGTGCATGGCCTGGGGGTTGACACGTGGCACAATCTGAATGGCCTGTGCGATGGCCTCCACGATGTCAGGCGGGTTGGGGTCCGCCAGCAGCATCATGTCGGGCGGCAGCACCTGGGGGGGGGAGGGGCGCCGTGTGGGGGGGAAGGCGCGTGGTGTGTGGGGGCAGGGAGGTGGGGTTGCGGATGCTGGGACATGGGGACGCCAGCAGCAGTGCTTGAGAATTGTCTAAGATGGCTCATCCTGGCGAGCGGCAGCCCCTTTGGGGGGTGGGGGAGATGTGGTTGGAGAGGACGAGGGGGGATGGGGAGACACGCACGTAAAAGGAGCGGGAAGGAGATGAATTGGAGGGGGGTGTAGAAGGCAAATGAGGGGGGAATTGACAGGCACAGCAGGGAGAGCAGTGGCAAAGGAAAGCGTGCAATGGCAAACACGGCAGGGGAGGTGGAGTGCACTAGGGAGGATGAGGGAGGCAATAAGGTAAGGAAAGAAAGACCGGTGCACAGCCTCGTTCCAGCTCGCAATAACACACTGAGACCTTCCAGATTCCATGTGGCACCCATCACACGGACCCATGTGGCACCCATCACACGGACCCATGTGAACCTCGCCTTGCTACATCATGCAGCACTGCCCCATGGCGCCCGCAACATATCACAGCACGGTGCAGGGCACAGCACGGTGCAGGGCACAGCACGGTGCAGGGCACAGCACGGTGCAGGGCAGCACGGTGCAGGGCACAGCACGGTGCAGGGCACAGCACGGTGCAGGGCACAGCACGGCAGAGCCCCCTTCACCGTTCTCCCCTCAACCCCATTCTCCCCTTGCCTCGCCTCGCCTCGCCCCAGCCCGCTCACCTCATCTTCATCCCACCTCACCTCAACTCACCATACCTCACGTCACCTCACCTCACCGCACCTCACCTCACCTCACCTCACCTCACCTCACCGCACCTCGGGCACGCCGCCGACACGCGTGGCAACGACGAAGAGGCCGCAGCAGGCGGCCTCGAGGATGGCGATGCAGAAGGCCTCGGTGAGCGAGCTGGGGGGCGGGCAGGGGGAGAGAGGCGGGGGAGAGAGGTGGGGGGAGAAGTGGGGGAGAGAGGTGGGGGGAGAGAGGTGGGGGAGAGAGGTGGGGGAGAGAGGTGGGGGAGAGAGGTGGGGGAGAGAGGTGGGGGAGAGAGGTGGGGGAGAGAGGCGGGGGAGAGTGATGGGGGACTGAGGCTTGGCGGAGCGGACAGGTGGGGAGGATGGCGATGCAGCGGCGAGGTGAGGGAAGTGGGGGAGGGGAGGTTGAGATGACGGGGCAAGGGGGGGAAAGGGGGGCATGGCAGGCAGGGAGGGGTAGGGGGAAGGGGGGACGGCCAGGTGGGGAGAGGAGGCAGAGAGCGGGGATGGAGGAGAGAGAGACGCACGGCATGCAGGTCTGAGCAGCATGCAGAAAAGATGGTCTGTGAGAGGGAAGAGGAGACGGAAGTGAGTGGGCAAGGCGAGGCCCTCACGAGGAGGGATAGGTGAAGGCGCTACAGAGGACTGTAAGGTGAAGGGGGGTGGGGAGGGGTGTCAGGGGCACGATAAGGGACAAACGTGGTGAAAGTGGACGAGGAAAGCAAGAAGAGGGATGAGTGTTGGAGTACGAGAATAGTGCAGGCGGACAATGTGGCGTGGCAGACAATGTGGCATGGCAGACAATGTGGCGTGGCGGACAAAGTGGCGTGGCGGACAAAGTGGCGTGGCAGACAAAGTGGTGTGGCAGACAAAGTGGCGTGGCAGACAATGTGGCGTGGCAGACAAAGTGGCGTGACGGACAATGTGGCGTGGCGGACAGTGTAGCGTGGCAGACAATGTGGTGTGGCAGACAAAGTGGCGTGGCAGACAATGTGGCGTGGCGGACAATGTGGCGTGGCGGACAATGTGGCATGGCGGACAATGTGGCGTGGCGGACAATGTGGCCTGGCGGACAATGTGGCGTGGCGGACAATGTGGCGTGGCGGACAATGTGGCGTGGCGGACAATGTGGCGTGGCGGACAATGTGGCGTGGCGGACAATGTAGCGTGGCGGACAATGTGGTGTGGCGGACAATGTGGCGTGGCGGACAAAGTGGCGTGGCGGACAAAGTGGCGTGGCGGACAAAGTGGCGTGGCGGACAAAGTGGCGTGGCAGACAAAGTGGCGTGGCAGACAAAGTGGCGTGGCAGACAAAGTGGCGTGGCAGACAAAGTGGCGTGGCGGACAAAGTGGCGTGGCAGACAAAGTGGCGTGGCAGACAAAGTGGCGTGGCAGACAATGTGGCGTGGCAGACAATGTGGCGTGGCAGACAATGTGGGGTGGCGGACAATGTGGGGTGGCGGACAATGTGGCGTGGCGGACAATGTGGCGTGGCGGACAATGTGGCGTGGCGGACAATGTGGCGTGGCGGACAATGTGGCGTGGCGGACAATGTGGCGTGGCGGACAATGTGGCGTGGCGGACAATGTGGCGTGGCGGACAATGTGGCGTGGCGGACAATGTGGCGTGGCGGACAATGTGGCGTGGCGGACAAAGTGGCGTGGCGGACAAAGTGGCGTGGCAGACAAAGTGGTGTGGCAGACAAAGTGGCGTGGCAGACAATGTGGCGTGGCAGACAATGTGGCGTGGCAGACAATGTGGGGTGGCAGACAATGTGGGGTGGCGGACAATGTGGCGTGGCGGACAATGTGGCGTGGCGGACAATGTGGCGTGGCGGACAATGTGGCGTGGCGGACAATGTGGCGTGGCGGACAATGTGGCGTGGCGGACAATGTGGCGTGGCGGACAATGTGGCGTGGCGGACAATGTGGCGTGGCGGACAATGTGGCGTGGCGGACAATGTGGCGTGGCGGACAAAGTGGCGTGGCGGACAAAGTGGCGTGGCAGACAAAGTGGTGTGGCAGACAAAGTGGCGTGGCAGACAATGTGGCGTGGCAGACAAAGTGGCGTGGCGGACAATGTGGCGTGGCGGACAGTGTGGCGTGGCAGACAATGTGGTGTGGCAGACAAAGTGGCGTGGCAGACAATGTGGCGTGGCAGACAATGTGGCGTGGCAGACAATGTGGCGTGGCAGACAATGTGGGGTGGCAGACAATGTGGGGTGGCGGACAATGTGGCGTGGCGGACAATGTGGCGTGGCGGACAATGTGGCGTGGCGGACAATGTGGCGTGGCGGACAATGTGGCGTGGCGGACAATGTGGCGTGGCGGACGATGTGGCGTGGCGGACAATGTGGCGTGGCGGACAATGTGGCGTGGCGGACAATGTGGCGTGGCGGACAATGTGGCGTGGCGGACAATGTGGCGTGGCGGACAATGCAACAGAGTGGCGGACAATGCAACAGAGTGGCGGACAATGCAACAGAGTGGCGGACAATGCAACAGAGTGGCGGACAACGCAACAGAGTGGCGGACAATGCAACAGAGTGGGGCTTACTTGGAACCGCATCTTCGTGCCAGCTGGCTAGCAGGAAGGCGTGAGGATGAGAGAGTAAAAAGGGAGAGGGAAGAGAGGAGGGGGGGGGATCGGTGAGGAGGGGAGGGAAGGGAGGGGAGGGGAGGGGAGGGGAGGGGAGGGGAGGGGAGGGGAGGGGAGGGGAGCGGAGGAGAGCGGAGGGGAGGGAGAGGGTGAAGGGGAGGGGAAGGGAGGAAGAGGCGGAAGAGGAGGGAGCGGCGGGGACCTGTTGAGGAAGATGTGGCCCTGGATGAGCACCTGTTGAGGAAGATGTGGCCCTGGATGAGCACCTGTTGAGGAAGATGTGGCCCTGGATGAGCACCTGTTGAGGAAGATGTGGCCCTGGATGAGCACGGAGCGCACTTGGCTGTGCGGCACGGCGCCCAGCATGGTGACGCGGTGGTGCAGCCCGTGGCGGTCCCTCATCTCCTCCAGCCGCCCCCTCTTGGCGCCATCGCCCCCTATTATCCACCGCACCTGGTGTGAGGTGCATCGCATGGCGGCATGCATGGGGCACATATGCGCGCGAGCACACGCACACACACACAAACAGGCGCACGCACACACAAGGCGCACGCACACACACACACACACACACACACCCACACGCACACACACACACACACACACACCCACACGCACACACACACAGGCACACGGACAGACACACGTGTGCACACACGCGTACCCACATGCACGCACATGCACACCCACACGCACACACTCCTCCCCCACCCCCCCACACACACACCACACACCACACCACACACACATAGACACACACACACCTCACATACCACACACACACACACCCACGCACGCACACACACACACAAACACACACACACACACAAACACACACACACACATGTTAGAAATCAGGAAGTTGTATTGAGTAATGAGCCAACAGGCTCTACAATACAAGCAAGGAGCAAGAGAGGAGTGTGAAAGAAGCTAACCCTAAAAGCCACTAAGTTGGCCAATGGGTGAGTTAGCTTGTGGCCCAAGCAACCACAATTGTGAGTTGATTGGATTGGTTGGGACAAGGACCAAAGGTTGGCAAGTGCCAACCAAGGACCAATGACCAGATCCAATCTTGACCAACCACAAGTTGTGGATGGAAGATACACCCATCAACCTTCCAATAGAAGAAATGACTACACCCTGCAATCTAGCCTATGGATGTTGCATACATTATAACATTACAACCACACACACACACACGCACACACACACACACACACACACATACATACATACACACACACACATTCACACTCATACGCACACGCACACGCGTGCATGCACAAACTCCCCTCCTCTTCCTCCCAAACCCCCCTATTTCCCAAAATACACACGCACGCACGCACGCACGCATGCACACACACAGGTACCATACAAGAGCGAGTGCATGGTGGTGGCAGCTGGGAGGTAGGCCCTGGTACTACCAGCGGCAGCGAGCTCACATGAGGGGAACGGCAGGCACACTTGAAGGGCTGAGAGCAGCAGCGCGCGCACACACACACACACACCTTGGGGAAGCGGTGAGAGCAGCAGCGCGCACACACACACACCTTGGGAAAGCGGTGAGAGCAGCAGCGCGCACACACACACACCTTGGGAAAGCGGTGAGAGCAGCAGCGCGCACACACACACACGCACGCACGCACGCACGCACGCACACACACACACACACACACACACACACACACACACACACACACACACACACATTGGGGAAGCGGTGGCAGACGGCGGGGATGACGTCGACGAGGAGGTCAGCACCCTTGCGGTACACGAGGCGGCTGATCACCACTATCACCACCTCCATCTCCGACCCCTCTCCCCCTCGCATCTCTGAACCAACCCCCAAGCTCGCCTCCATGCCAACCCCCATGCTGTCTTCCCTGTCCCGCCCAGCAGCCACTGCCATGCCACTGTGCTCGAGCCCCTCTGCTCCTGATGGTCCCACCCTCCCCACCACCTCAGCCGCTGGAGGGTGTGTCATGCTTGCTGCTCTCTCCGCCTCTTCTCTGCTCCACGCTCCCCTTGCCCCTCCCTCCCTCGTTGCCTCCTCCCCTCTTCCCCCACCCCCGACTGCCTCTCTCTGCCCCACAGCCCCTCCTGCCCCACCTTTTGCTCCTCCCCCTGCTGCACATGCTGCTGCCCCACCCCCACTGCCTGCAGCTCTGCACAGCACGGCACTACCCTCATCCTCCACATCCCTTTCTCCATCCTCCCCTGCTGCTCGTCCTCCAGCCCCCTCGCTGCGCAAACCAACAGCAGCAGCGGCTTCCCCAGCAGCACCCGTAGTAGGGGCAGCAGCAAGGGCAGCAGGTGGGGGGGGCGGGCAGCGGGTTGGGTCGGGGAGGAAGTTGTTGGCGTCAACGGCGTTGGGGATGACAGCCACTCGGTGCGGCGGCAGGGAGGGCGCAGCGCGCAGCACGGTGTTCTCCTTGCTTGTGTGGGACACACATATGGCCGCGTGAATGCCCGCTGTTGAGAACTGCAGCAGCTGTGGGGGGGAGGGTGGGAGGGAGGGAGAAGGAAAGGGGAGGGTGGGAGGAGAGAGAGGAGAGGAGGAGGCGGGGGAGGAGGTGGTGGCATGCGGGGCATGAGTGTGACATGCAGTGCACAGACTGCAACACGAGCAGAGCACAACTGAGCTGCCATCAGGCTGCTGCAGCATAAGGCATGCCTCCCCCTCACCCACCCACCCTCTCACCCACTCAGCACACCTTGTTCATGTGGATGCTGGCAGCACACCTTGTTCATGTGGATGCTGGCAGCACACCTTGTTCATGTGGATACTGGCAGCACACCTTGTTCATGTGGATGCTGGCAGCACACCTTGTTCATGTGGATGCTGGCAGCACACCTTGTTCATGTGGATGCTGGCAGCACACCTTGTTCATGTGGATACTGGCAGCACACCTTGTTCATGTGGATGCTGGCAGCACACCTTGTTCATGTGGATGCTGGCAGCACACCTTGTTCATGTGGATGCTGGCAGCACACCTTGTTCATGTGGATACTGGCAGCACACCTTGTTCATGTGGATGCTGGCAGCACACCTTGTTCATGTGGATGCTGGCAGCACACCTTGTTCATGTGGATGCTGGCAGCACACCTTGTTCATGTGGATGCTGGCAGCACACCTTGTTCATGTGGATGCTGGCAGCACACCTTGTTCATGTGGATGCTGGCAGCACACCTTGTTCATGTGGATGCTGGCAGCACACCTTGTTCATGTGGATGCTGGCAGCATCAGCGAAGCCACAGAGCGAGTGGTCGGTGAAGACAGCGCGGCGGCCCAGCGTGGGGGCGTGCAGCAGCGCGTCGTGGCACATGGGGGCGAAGCTCTGGTGCGCGTGCACGATGGCGATGCGCTCCCGAACCACTATGGCGCGGAACAGTGGCAGCGACAGGCATGGCAGCGGAGACGGGGGTGTGGCCTGCCGCGGGGTGGGATGCGTGGGGGAAGGGGAGTGCCATGGGGAAGGGGAGTGCCGTGGGGAAGGGGAGTGCCGTGGGGAAGGGGAGTGCCGTGGGGGAAGGGGAGTGCCGTGGGGAAGGGGAGTGCCGTGGGGAAGGGGAGTGCCGTGGGGGAAGGGGAGTGCCATGGGGAAGGGGAGTGCCGTGGGGAAGGGGAGTGCCAGAGGGAGGGAAGTGCCGGCGGGGAAGGGGAGTGCCGGGGGGAAAGCGGAGTTAAATGGGAGCAAGGCGTGGAATGGGATTGCAGATGCGTGCAGTGGTGGGCGTGCAGTGGTGGGCGTGCAGTGGTGGGCGTGCAGTGGTGGGCGTGCAGTGGTGGGCGTGCAGTGGTGGGCGTGCACTGTGCCTATGATCACATGAGTGAGGAGAGACAGGCAGGGCAGCAAAGCGTGGGGTGAGCCGAAGAGAGGTGAGGTGAAGCAAACGGGACCATGAGCAGCGGCGCTGCCATTGCCTGGCAATCCAGTGGGACAACGAACTGTGGATGGGGATGGGGGATGGGGTATGGGGGATGGCGGATGGGGAATGCGAAATAGGGGATGGGGGATGCATGCAAGAAAGCACTCACCTGCAGCCACACGGCACGGCGCGGCGCGTAGTAGACCTTGAGGCCATTGGTGAGGTAGCGCACTCCCACTCGGTCGCCGTATGCGTGCGTCAGCACCACCACCTGTAGCACACGGCAGGGCAGAGCAGGACGCACAGGGGCTGAGGCGTGCCGTGCAGCGACGGTACGGCTGTGATTCTTCTACACGTGAGAGCAGAGCGCATTCAGTTGGCATGGTGGCGCGGTGGCACTGGGCATCCGCACGGACTCGCCACTGGGTGGGTGACACACCTCAATCCAATCTCCTTCCCCACCACGCCTGGAAAGCACACCTTCCCATCAATGTACCACACACGCTACGCCCGCCATCCCTTCCAGTCACTCACAACCAGCGATGCTGCCACGTAAGATCCAAGACCTGATGGCTTTGTCACCTCACCGCCTCGCCACGTCACCTTGTGGCGGCGCTACAGGCGGGCGTCACCTTGTGGCGGCGCTACAGGCGGGCGTCACCTTGTGGCGGCGCTACAGGCGGGCGTCACCTTGTGGCGGCGCTACAGGCGGGCGTCACTTTGTGGCGGCGCTACAGGCGGGCGTCACCTTGTGGCGGCGCTACAGGCGGGCGTCACCTTGTGGCAGCGCTACAGGCGGGCGTCACCTTGTGGCGGCGCTACAGGCGGGCGTCACCTTGTGGCGGCGCTACAGGCGGGCGTCACCTTGTGGCAGCGCTACAGGCGGGCGTCACCTTGTGGCGGCGCTACAGGCGGGCGTCACCTTGTGGCGGCGCTACAGGCGGGCGTCACCTTGTGGCCGCGCTGCAGCAGGCACTGCGCGAGGAGGTAGATGTGGCTCTCCACGCCGCCGAAGTTGGGGAAGAAGAAGTCGCACACCATCAGCACGCGGTGCCGCCTGCCCCCGCATGTGACGTTCGGCTCGTCGTCAGAGGCGGCTAATGGTGTGCTGCTATCACTCAAGGGACTGCTCCCCGTCATTCGCCTTTGCGACTAATTCTGCCTACGACTCGCGCGACCAGGACCGTCGATCCTTTTGGAAGCAGCCGGACGGATCAGGGTGCCCGGTATGTATGAGCCTGCTTGTAGCTGGGTTGGGCCGAAATTCGGTCCTTTAGGCTTCAGGGCTGAAAACCAGAGGAGAGGAGGGAAGGGGGGGGGAGGGGGTTGGGAAACGGGGGACGGAAGGAAGGGAGAAACGGATGAGAGGAGGAAATAACGTGGGCGCTGGCGACAGGGAAGAAATCGTGTGCGCGCTCGCTGCTTATCCCCCCCCTCCCCTCCCCGTCTCGCAGCTTATCCCCCCCACCCCTCCCTCGCTGTTAATTCCCACCTCCCCCTCTCTCTGTTTATTCCCTTCCCCCCGCCCCCTCGCTGCTTATTCCCCCCCGCGTCGTCGCTGCTTATTCCCCCCCGCGTCGTCGCTGCTTATTCCCGCCCGCCTTCTCGCTGCTAATCCCGCATCCCCTTCTCGATGCTTATTCCGCCGTGCCCCATCTGCACTTTCCGCCGTGCCTGCTCGCTGCTTATTCCCGTCCGGCCTTCTGCTGAACCCCTCGCATATCGCAATTTCTCGCCCCATCCCCCTCACACCTCTGCATTATCGCTGCAACATCTCATTTTGTCTCCGAGACGCGCCGCGGCTCAATCTAGTCCGCGCCTCTTGCGTAGTCGATGCAGCCCCCAGTCCGTGCCACGCCCGTCGATTGCGGCTCACACCCGACCGCCACTCACGCGAAATCAGCCCTCCGTGCCTCGCGCCTCCTCGCTGCAAGCTCCTTTTCCCTTTACGCACTCTCGCGTTACTAAAGCCGTCCCTCTCGCGCCCACCAAATGCTCAATAAACGCCCAAATGAATCTGCTACCGCACTGGCTAAAGATGGAGCACGTACTATGGGTGATAGGGTGCACGATGGAGCAAGTTTTACTTAGCGAAGCACAAAACTGAAACAAAGTCGCCACCAGCACCTCAATGTTAGGGCCTAACACTGCTTTGTACCGTGGCTGACACTTCTCTCAACTCTATCCTACCGTGTACAACCTTTCTAGAAGTTCTAACTTTGCCCTTACGGGTGCAATAGAACAAGATACCAGCCAGGATTGCACCAAGTATGAGCGAAGGCATGAGCAATTACATGCAACAATTACATGGTGCGTGCGAGCTAGCTAGTGCTAAGCTGGCATCGAGGTTCGGACTAGTCCCGAAGCGTAGGCCGACTCGGTCAGGCCAGCGGTGCATGGTTTGGTAAAACACTGCGCGCGAAGTTGGCGAAGCCCGTTAAAAGTAACGGGCGAACAACGGCTGGTGCTGTACGCGATGTTGAAGAACGCGATGAAGAATGCTGAAAGATTCTTTACACTACCCCCCACCCCCCCCCCCCCCCCCCCCCCCCCCCCCCCCCCCCCCCCCCCCCCCCCTCAAGAAGCCCCCTCCGCTACGCAAGTGCGTGTATATCGCAGAATCCCTGACTCCTAAGGTACACTTGCAGGGCAGGGTAGTTTACGATGTTGGCTGGGGGCACCCAGCTATCCTCAGTTGGTGTGTGGTCCTTCCAGCGAACGAGGAACTCGATCCTCTTGTTGCTTGTGGTATGACGAATCGATGGCTCATAATTTTCTCAGGCTCGATGATCGGCTCCAATGCAGGGCGATTCATGGATGGCGGGCGATGTCGTGGCAGTTGGCTTGTGGTCGGGATATATGGGCGAAGCAGGCTGACGTGGAACGATGGGCTGACTTACCAGTCTCTCGGGAATAGTAGATGGGCGGTAATTGGGGTGATCATATGGCTAATTTGAAACGGTCCATAGTAACTCGATCGAAGTTTCGGTACAACGGGCAGTATTAAATTCTGTGTGTCGAGCACTACATAATCTCCTAACTGGTATGTGACTAGGCGACGGTGGCGGTCAGCACTGTTCTTAGCGATGACGTTTGCTTTTTTTATTGCCTCTGCTGCTCACGTTCAGACAGCTCGCAGGATCTCGGTGGATTGTTGTGCGCGTGGCGTGGGGTTGTTCAGACTCGGCATCATGGGCACTGTTGGATTTTGCCCGTAGATCATGTTAGAATCAGAAAGTGATCGTAACCAGGATCACCTCAGGAAGGTTCGCACAGTTCTAGTCTAGTGGTGGTGGGCCCTTAACCTCAATAGCAGAGTGAATGTAAATGCTTGAGATGATTAAAAACATGCAGTACAAGGAATATAAATATGAGTACAGGGGAATTCGAAACGACCTAGCTAGCCATGTACTCTAAGGGGTACATTCCCTTATTACAGCGAAATCCAACCGTGCGACTCCGAGTGGTTACTGTGAAAATGAGTAAGCAGGAATGAATCAACTATGAATGAAAGCAGTACAAATATGAAACCCTAACTGGGTTGTACCCCCTATGGGATACCCCACTACAGCCTACACAGCAGTATAAGCTATAGATATGTTCTGACACACCCCCATAGGCAAAGTGGGGGAGAACAAGGGGTCACAAGACCAGTCAACCAAGACAAAGCAAAGCTCAGGGTGGATCACAAAGTCACCACACAGTCCGAGCACAAGAGCAAGGCCAAAGGCCAGTTCACAAGCAAGAGTACACACATATATATAAAGCTAGACAAGCAAGAGCAGGTATATATATATGTCACAGTACAAGTGAAGTCAAGAGGAGAGCAAGTGAGGCAAGACAGGCACAAGACCCAGCTGGGTGCAGAAGCGCTGATGGTCACAAGGCGCAAGTGCCTTGGTGAACACATCAGCAGTGTTGGCCTCAGAGGCCACGTACGCAAGTCGCAACTGACCACGCTGCTGCAGCTCACGAGCAAGGAAGTAGCGGAGAGCAATGTGCTTCGTTCTGTGCTCCAAGCGCTGCTCTCGACACAAGGCCAGCATAGCCTTGTTGTCTACGTACAGCACTGGAGGAGAACGAGGCGGCTCTCCAAGGTCAGTCAGCAGGTAGGTGAGCCAGCGAAGCTCCTGTGCAGCCATGGCCCCGGCGTAGATCTCAGCCTCACAACTGGAGCCGAGAACCGAAGACGAGCGAGTAGACCGCCACGAGACAGAGCCGGAACCAAGGCTGAAGGTGTAACCCTGTGACGACCGCTGCGTAGCCTGGTCGTCAGCCCAAGACGCGTCCGCGTGGCCGGTAAGGACCACTGGACCCCGCCCTCCAAGCACTAGCCCCATGCCTGACGTACTGCACAGGTAGCGCAATACCCTCTTCGCTGCAGCCATGTGCTCCGGTCTGTGTCTCCCAGGAGCAACATAGCGTGCAAGAATGCTCAGAGGGTATGCAAGGTCAGGTCGTGTGCAGGTCATCAGGTACATGAGGCAGCCAACAAGCTCCGCATATGGACCACTCGACTCTACGGACTCATCCGAAGGCAGAGCTGAGAGTGAGTGGCGAGTAGGCAGAGGAGTGGCCTGAGGCGAGGAGTACGTGAAGCCGAAGCGCTGAAGGACCTGCTGCACCATGTGTGACTGAGTCAAGGTAATGGTGCGGCGTGCTCTGTCCCGAGTGATCTGCAAGCCAAGGTAGCTGCGCAGTTCACCCAGGTCTGTGCACGTGTGTCTCTTCAACAGCTCGGACTTCACGTAGGCGAGTCCAGCAGTGTCCGCTGTGGCAAAGACCAGGTCGTCGACGTACACGAGGATGTAGAACGGCGGCAGGGAAGTGTCGGTGCGAAGAAACAGCGACGGGTCAGCAGTAGAAGGAGCAAACCCAAGAGCCGCAAGCGTAGTCCTCAGTGTGTCGTGCCACTCACGCGGTGCCTGGCGGAGACCGTAGACTGGCCGTCGGAGGCTCCACTGGGTGCCAGGAGGGAAAGTCCCAGTGAAGCCAGGTGGACGGCGAAGCCAGATCTCCTCGTGCAGGCTACCCTGCAAGAACGCAGTGCTGAAGTCGAGAGAGTGAAGCTCGTAGTCGCGCTGAGCGGCTATGTGCAGCAGCACCCGAAGAGTAGTCATCTTCGGGGTGGGAGAGAAGGTCTGAAAGTAGTCAACTCCCTGCCGCTGACTGAAGCCACGAGCAACGTACCGTGCCTTGAAGACAGGTGGAGAGCCCGGCGGCCGCTTCACCCTGAAGATCCACATGCCACTGACGATGTTCGCCCCAGGAGGGGGAACCGCGTCAACGTAGGTGCCTGTGGACTTCCAGGAAGCCATCTCTGCATCCATAGCTGCCTGCCACTGAGAGGAGTAGGGACCCTCTACGGCCTCCGCGTAAGAACGCGGAGTCGGGATGTCTAGTGCATCCGGGTCTCCCTCAGGGGCAAGCAGTACAGACGCGAGATGAGGTGAAGCAGCCGCTAGACACTGTAACTCCTCCTGCCTGTCCTCTAGGACGTCTGTGCCAAGAGCACACTCACCCCCGACGGACGGAGGACAGACAGACGCAGACTCAGCAACAAGACTAGCAGCGTAGTCGAGACGACAGCGAGCAGCAAAGTCGACGAGCTCAGCGACTAGAGCAGACGCAGCAGTGGACTCAAAAGAGGGGTCAGTGACAACAGTAGCAAGCAGACGCGTGACAGTGGGACTGGCAGCACGAAGAGAGTCCGACTCAGGGTCCGCAAGCGCAGGAAGAGAGGACTCAGGAGGAGAAGGCAAAGGGGCACGCAGAGGAGCAGTGGACGGACGTAAAGACATCCGGTGCGTGCCAGGGACAGGAGGAGGACGCTGACGCGAACTGCGACCACTAGCGCGAGCAGCACGAACAGGCGACGCGGGACGAGACGCAGGCTCACGACGCTCAGCAAGACCTCCAGTAGGACCAGTGTAAGGAGAGGGAGCAGGCAGCGGAGAGGAAGGCTCCAGTAGGGGCTGCGACTGGAAAGGCGGTGGACCCTCTACTGGAGGAGAAAGACCAAGAACCTGCTGAAGGAGCGGAACGAAGTACGGCCGAGGCCGCGCGGCAGCTCCAGACTCAGCAGGGACAGCACCAGCGCCACCCACACCTCCAGCGGCAGGACCAACAGCAGCAGGCTC